CCCATTTGCTATTTTACTCTTTCCCTGGCTAAGTTCTCCATTTTCTTTACCCTCTACCCAAGGTCCTTTTCTTTGGCTAGGCTCTTTTTTCTACATATTGAATCCCACAGTCAGGCATTACAAAGATGAACGTGCCTCCTCCTCTCAGAAGCTAGAGAGTCTGAAGTGATGTAACAGAGTTAGCCTGCCCTTTCAGGAGCCAAGGATCTGTCTTCAATGTATTTTTAAAAATTTGTTTCTTGGTTTTTATTTTTTAATATTTACAAAATTTTATTTATTTATTTATTATTTATTTAGTTGTGTGTGTGTATGTGTGTATGTAAGCACATGCATGCTATGGCATGTGTGTGGAAGTCAAGGGACAATTTTGGGGAGCCAGTCACTTTTCTCATTCTACCATGTGTGCCCCAGGGATGGAACTCAGCTTGTCAGGCTTTGTAACAAGAGCTTTTACCTTCTTAGCCATCTCATCAGTCCTGGTTTTGGCCTTTGAGACAGTGCTTCATTCTATAGTTCAGGATCGCTTGGAACTCACTATATAGTGCAGGCTGGCCTTGAACTCGCAGCAGTCCTCCTGCCTCAGTCTCCCAAGTGCTGGAATTACAGGTGTGCATCATCATGTTGAATGTATTTTTTCTTCAGTGGAACAGAAGAGAACCAAGGGCTTTGCACATGCTAGGCAGGCGTTCTATCACTGTGCTGCATCCACAGTCCCTGAAAATATCTTTTCAGAGTTATCTCTTAAGACTACTCTTTACAAACATTATGTTCTACCCATCATGCCTTTGAAACTGAACATGTGTAGCAGTTAGTGGCAACAACACAGGCTGATTATCTACCTGTACACTGCTAGATTGCCAACTTGCTCTTGACCTTTATAGAGTCTTAAATTACAAAAATGGTCATAAACGCTCAATATCTCTCTCCAGTGAATCCAAGAGATGGTGATGTTCAAACACAGAGCATAAAAATGATAACTTCTACAAATTCTCAAGATGACACGCATCAGACCCATGAGCTAAGCAAAATTCTTATCTTGCACATGAAACTTTCTCAAGTGCTTTGGAAAGCCTAAAAGAGAAAACAAAAGTTATGGCCAAACTCAACTTGGTTTCTCATTTATTGGAAATTAAAATGATCTACTTTTGCAAAGTAAAATGATAAGATCTCCAATTTTGTGTAGAAACAAAACACAAAAATTATTAGACTAAGCAAGTCAGCATTTTAAAAAATATTTTATTTATTATTTTTATTTTATGTGTGTTATGCCTACATGTAAGTAAGTGCACCCATGTTGTGCAATGCCCGCAGAGGACAGAAGAGGCTGTCGGATCCCCTGGAACTGGAGTTACAGACAGTTGTTAGCTGTCATGTGGATGCTGACATTCGAACCCAGGTCTTCTGCAAGAACAGCCAGTGTTCTTAACCACTGAGCCATCTCTCCAGCCCTAACAAGTCAGTATTTTTTAAAACCACTGGATTCAAGAAATCCAAAAAGTTTCTGAGGGAACGGGAAGTCAGACTTTTATTCATATATCCGTTAGAAATGCTTCATCTGAAGCTTGAACCAATAATTTAAATTCAATGACTGGGTAACTCACAAAGCTAAATGTGTTGGGTCATATAGCATCGGAGGTCACCACCAAGGAGCATTAGTTATGAGTCATAAATGTCTTATGTTTTTATTATTAGTTTTTTAGGTTAAGTAATGGGTCTCACCATGACATGTTCATACCTGTGTGATGTTATACTTTGTTCCCATTACCGTCCCTCCTCCATGACCCTCCCCCATATCCCCTCTAGCTGGTTCCCTTCCCTCCCCCAGTAGTTCTCCCTTCTGCTTTGTTATCACAAAGCAGTTTCTGTTCGTGAATACTGCAAGGTCAAGTAATATTTAAGCACTGCGATGGGTATAGTAGGGCGATCTATGATGATTACCTAAGTGCACCTTTTGACACTTTTTGATGTAGACAGTGTGACATGAGGTTGATCTTACCTAAAATGCAGGTGTCTTGAAGGGAGGGAGTAACATAGTCTTGGTATTTAGGTTATCATTCTAAGTCTCAGTTCAGGGTATAAGAGAAAGATGATTTGAGAAGTGTTCCTAGTGATAAAGACAGGTTCTATCCTTTACTTTTATCCTTCTACCTCCAACAAATAAAAGCCAAGAAGGTGAGTAGGAAGAGAAGAGAAATTAAAAGCTGGGGCTTGAGAGCATGATGAGATGAAGCTGTGTTGGGGAGCAATAGGGGCCCTTCCCTTAGAGGCCTGATAGAGACATGGTTACCATAATGAGTGGCAGAATGAGTGGCTGACTGTAAATCTCATGGAAAGTCTGTGAAAACTACTGCCAGAGCTCAAGAATTGGGCTCCTCCCCTCCCTTTCAACTGATATTTCAGGCTTGCATAAACTCTGGCGTTCAAAATAAATATGAGGGTCCTGAAGGAGGGAGGGGGTGAAACCTAAATTTGAGTTGAAAGACGAAATCACGAAAAGGGCTCACAAATAATGAATTGACTGAATCTTATGTAGACAAATATTATCTTTGCTTGGGAAGAGTGATGCCTTTGGAAAGAAAATATGTCCAGATACAGGCAGTGTAAAATCCAGAATCTAGTCTTTCTTATTTATGCCTGTATACCTAGCATTAAGTACCCCAAACAGTAGCTATTCTATAGGTATCAGTCTTTTACAGAAAAATTCTAAATGAGTTAGAATTTTCCCAAGAGTAGCAAACAGGAAAACAAGCCATGGAATGCTGTCTCATTTCTCAATCACATGCTACTTACTTCCATGTTGATGTTAATGCTCTATCTTCTCCCCATCTCCTCTGTTACTGTACCTGATGGAACCCTCTGTTCTTCAATGCTCACCTTAATATTTTCTTCCTCTTTGAAGCTTTTTTCTTATTATTGCTCACTGGAAAGGAATGCTCACTCTCTGAACAACACTGTCTCTGTGTACCTCTTGTAGAACTTGTCGAAACTTTTCAAGGTCTGTTTTGTATCATGTTGTTAAAGCATCAATGAGCACATGACAGGCTCTGAGCAATCTTATCTCTAGTCACCCACCCTCTACCGAGTGCTTTATCACCATGCTTTTTAAAATATTTATAAAATATCAGTTCATATTTTCCTATGGTGTTTACTGTTTTCTTTCTTTAATGTACATAAATAGATACACACAGTTTAACAAGTAATTATAAAGCATATGTCCATGTGAATTCTGCATGAGTAGAAACAGTAGATTTAATACTTTTGCCATATTTTCTACTAAAATTTTTCTAGTAGAAATTCTGCATGGCACCGTGGATGATATCCTCAAACCAAGCATCTCTCTCTGATCACTCCTTCCTCCATCCAGAATCAAATTAGGGCCAATACTGAGCCAGAATTCACTGGTGAAGTGTAGAAGCTTCTGTTGGCTTTCACTTGTCATGGTTTGGCTTTCACTTGTCATGGTTTGTGCCATACAGACTGTTAAAAATTTTGAAGACTGAGCTAGGAGCATTGCTCAGTGGTAGCAGACTTGCTTAGCAAATGCAGGGCCCCTGAGGTTGATCCCCAGCACTACAAAAAATTGAACATTACTTCTGGATATAAGCAGCTTTCTTGACCTATGGAAATCACTTTCTTGTTTTTATTTTTATTTTTTTCACATATGAATATAGCCTAAATGCACCTGCCTATTTGGCATTATACAGCACATACTCTCAGGGTTTGTTAATTTAACCCCATGTTTTGACATGCAGGTGGTTGTATATAGATGCCATTCATTTTTGTTGATGTACAGAGTATTGTATTGTGTGACTAAATCACAACTCATCTCCCATTGAAAAACATAAATCGCTTCTTGAATCAGCCTATTTCAAACAAAAGCTTTTAAGGATATTGTTCTAGTTTGTTTCTCTGTTGGTGTGATAAAATACTGACCAAAACAGACTTGGAGAGGAAAGGGTTTATTTGACCCTTGCACATCACAGTTCATCACTGAGGGAAGCCAGGGCAGGAACTCAAGGTAGGAAGCTGGAAGAGAAGCTGAGTCAGAGACCATGAAAGGACATGGCTTCCTGGCTTGCTCCTCTGGCCTGTGCTCAGACTACTTTCTTAAACAATCCAGAACCATCTGCCCAGGTTGGCACCACCCATAATGGGCCGGGTCCTCCCACATCACTAACAATCAAGAAAATGCTTCACAGATGTGCCTACAGGCCAATCAGATAGATGAAATTTCCCAGTTGAGGGTCCCTCTTCCCAGGTGTGTCAAGGTGACAACTGAAGCTATCCAGCACAAACATTCTTGTATGTTTTCTTGGTACACACAAAACATGAATGATTTTCTGATAGGTGTATTATTCTAGTGGATTTACTGGTCAAAGATATCACAGTAAGGCTATTTAGAGGCAAGGCAAAGATGGTATGTTGTGTGCAAGATGTTCATTAGGGTACAATACCTGTGAAAGAAAGGCAAAAGGGGACTGGAGAGATGGCTCAGCGGTTAAGAACACTGGCTGTTCTTGCAGAAGACCCAGGTTCAAATCCCAGCACCCACATGTCCAAAACTCCAGTTCCAGGGGATCTGATGGCCTCTTCTGCCCTCTGTGGGCATTGCATGACATGGGTGCACTTACCTACTTGCAGGCAATACACACATACACATAAAATAAAAATAAAAAATAATAAATAAAATATTTTTAAAGAAAGGAAAAAAGAAACGCAAAAGAAGCAGATTTGAGTAGGCAACATGAACTGCAGTACAGCAGTGACAAAGCTTGGGGCTGGAGAAATGGCTCAGTGGATAAGAGCTTTAGCTGCTTTTGCAGAGGCCCCTCATTCAGTTCCCAGCACCCACATGGTGGCTAACAGTTGTCTGTAACTCCAGTTCCAGAGGCTCTGACACCCTCTTCTGACCTCTGTGGGCATTGCACACACGTAGTGCACTTACATGTATGCAGGCAAAACACTCATATACATAAAGACAAACAAATACAGGAATGGCAGTGCTTACTTCAGCAGCACATATACTAAAATTGGAACAATACAGAGAAGATTAGCATGGCCCCTGTGCAAGAAAGACACAAATTCATGAAATGTTCCATATTTACAGATAAATAACGCTTAGGTGGTATGCAAAACCATAGGGAAATGTATTAGTTCAAAGTCCTACTGAGAAATATATGGTCAATAAATATACAAGGGCTGGAGAGATGGCTCAGAGGTTAAGAGCACTGGCTGCTCTTGTAGAAGACTGGGTTTGATTTCCAGCACCCACATGGTGGCTAAGAATGATCCATAACTACAGTTCCAGGGGATCCAACACCGTGTTTTGACCTACACAGGCACTGCATGACACAGGTGCACCTACCTATATGCAGACAATACACTCATAAATGTAAAATAAAAATAATAAATAAATATATGAGCACATATGTGAAGCTGAAGGCTAAATAACAAAATACACAGTGCCAGGTAGGAGAAACCTCATTTTGAATCATTGGTCAGGGTAGTCCCAGAGACTCCCAAAATAACACAAGCTATTGCCACAGCCTCCCAGAACTTGAACGTAAGACCGTACTGTTGAAGACAGGACATACTTCAGACAAAGGGCTTAGAGCAGTGGAGCAGGAACTGACCTGGAAGCCTTTTCCTGAAGATTAGCTCTCGTAGATCTAGAGGATACTATGCAAGCTTCTAAGAGAGAAAAATCAATGGTCCAACATAGCCCTAAAGTTGAATAACCATAACGACTGGCACAGCAAACTACCTCTATTGGTGCAGTAGTGGCACTTTTATCTTGTGGGTAATCAACAGCTGTCTAATTGGAATGAAGGCCCACTTAATGGGAGAGAATTCATGTGTGGTATTGTAAATATAGCCAAATAAACATGGCTACAAAGGTCATAGATTCCTAGAGAAAAACCTACTTTTGCCACATCTGTACATCAATGTAAT